ATTTATGTAGATCTGGTTGACCACGAACGGTTGACCGCAATTGATTGACCGCAACACGCGTCTTGGGTTGCACGAACAAGATCAGATCAAAACTGGATCAAACGGATGCAAACAGATCAAAACGAAATTTTGCTGCCAGACACCTTCCGGCGGCGCGTGAGGGCGCGTGCGGCGTCGGATTCCGGCGACGTCGGCGGCGATGGAAAGCTCTCGTCGAGACGGTCGTCTGGGTATACTGTACGTTTCAATCGGACTTCCGGTTAGTTCTGTAGGTCAAAAACAATTTCGTCTCGGTTTACCTACAGATCTTCTACTGTATTACTCAATACACCCTTCTTCAACTTGTACCAGTGGAGCAACAAGAAGAAGATAAAGCTCGAATGAGATCTAGAGAGAGAGAGATGGTTTCACGTGAGAATGAGACTTCTCTTCTTTCCTCATGAGCTTAATGATGTATATATAGAGCTACAGTAGGGACCCTAAGGAGATTAGGAAAAGGGCTCCTTAATTAATTAGACTAACTGTGGGCCAAACCCACTCCTCTAATTAATTAAATAATATTAATGGGCCACCAACATTATATTATTGCACTCCCTTTCCCTAGCCCAAATTACATTTGAGACTCCAATAATAATTACTCGATTTACCTCCCCACGTTTAAGATATAATGTCCATTAATTAATTCGATTACTGACAATCAAGAATTAATTAATTTATTATTATTTCACCGAAGCTAGCGCTCGTTCATCACATTCTTATTATGCCGGAATTTAATCCACCTGCAGGGTTTAGCATAACAATCCTTCATGAACTCACTCCGGGGACATCATCAAACTAACGCACATGGTGACCGTAAATATCCTAACAGCACATCCTATATATAATAATATTACCCAAAACAGTAGGAATATTAATCCAGCGAACTGAACCTCACCCATGTGAATCAAAGTAATATATATTATATATATCTGCCTGTTTAATATCTTACGGGTTAAGAGAACGCAGTAATTAACCGAGGCCTAGTTCATTTACGACGATCAGTATAAAATGAACTTCTCCTCTCTGGGATCCTGTTCAATACATAAATGTACTAGTGCAACTAATCAGTCAAGACAAACTGTACAGTTGACACTACAACCGTTCGGATGGGGTGTTCATGTCCATCTAGGTTGTGAACAACTATTCTTGTTCGCAAGTGACTGATAGAGTGACCTTCGGTTCGCCCGATGACGACCCACCCTATCTAAGTGCAGAACAACAGAACGTAGAACTTGTTTAATCTAACATGATTCTCATTCATAAAGAGTAAATGTGTAATAACATGCAAAGCCAAGCTTTCAGTATATAACACTAACACAACCTCCATGTTTTTTAGTCATTTCCATTGCCCTTGCCCCTTCTACAGTGCATACAAGTTGGTACTTTCTCTTGCATTTGAAATATGATAAGTTTAGTTATGCAACTTTGATAGATACAGTAAATTCCTTAGTAACCCGTCATTTATATCGTCACTTGTGTCATGATATGGAAACAGATGAGCTATGAAGGTTTCCACTGTAAGCCTGTAAGTCTATCTGGATAGAGAGTTCAAACCTTAATTATCATACAAAGTACATCTGTACTTTGCAGTCGCCTTAGAGAAACGAGTTACAGTTAGTACACTTTTGAGCTTCTCAATTGCTTTATGATTAAATGGAACCAACTAATTTAGGGAGCATTTCGATATTAATAAGCTTGGGTCTGGAAAGTGCTATACGGCCAGATACCAAGTGCCTAGGATCAGCAAATATCATATGTTCCATGTAAGTAGATGTTCTACTAATATGCTATTATGCTGGATCTAGTCATCTAGACTGAGGGTTCATTAAGCATATAAATTTAAATTTTAAAGGGCAATTTATCAGTCTCCTTCCCTGAACAGTTGGTCATGATGATTATTATATTTTCATGACTGTTTTGCTGGTCGCTAATAATTTGAATAAGCGCCAAAATGTAACTTATCATTAGAAGTATACGTTATCCAGAAAGCTTTATCATTTTTCCTTTTCATTTTTTTTCTTCTTTCTGATGATTTTATTGTCTCCAGGTCATGTGGATGCTAGTTCACCGACTTTAGGGTCGAGCAGGTCCTGGAAGTCTATGGAAATGGAGATTGAATCATTGCTTGAGAAATTACTTGATGTAAATGATTCATTGAGTCGATGTGCTGCATCTGCTTCTGCAACTACATCAGTTACTCAAAAGCTTGCTAGACATAGGGACATACTGCATGAGTTTACCCAGGTTATTTACTATCACGTTGATGACTTGATGTGACCCCTTCTCAGTAGTCTATGTTACTCTTTAATATTTATCAGTAAATAGAAGATCGAAGATTTGTTATTCTACTCAAAACAACATTGAACACTTGAAAGTCTGGGTATTATGTCCCTTTTGTGAACATAACGAGACCATCATTTAAATCTAGTTTCTGCAACGCCAATTAATTAATTATTATTCCCATCATTGTACTAACACTCAACCTGAGAGTGTATATCTGGTTATTTTGTCTCTTTTCTTTACTCTCAAGTTTAGCTGGGTTGCTAGTTTCTCTCCTTTGTTACTTCCCTTTTGTTTTGTTTCCTATTTTTAAATAATTTTTACTCTCAATCATGTCCAAATTCTTTCTGGGAGCATTAAATCATACTTGGAACACTCTTAACCCAACCTCTATGCATATTGGAAATCCAATTGAAGACTGGCTGGTCTATATGAGCCAAGAACTACTGTGCTTTCTTGTTAGAGATAGATCGACTTTCAATTCCTAATGCAAATGTTCTGCACTAGATTGGAAAACATATCTGCATCATGTTGTGAACAATTAAGCTTAGTGAATTACTTGACCAGTTGTGTTAATCCTGGTTGAATTGGCGTGGGGCATTTCTGTAGGAATTTAAGCGTATAAAGGGAAATATAAACTCAATGTGGGAACATGCAGAACTCCTTAGTTCCGTGAGAGATGATATAAATGAGTACAAGGTGAGAATTAGTAAAATTGTCAATGTAAACAATGTTACTCCTGCCACCTGATGCCTTCTGTAGTTAAAAGTTTGAACTATTGCAGGCTTCTGGAAGTGTATCTCCAAGAGTGCAAGTACTAAGGGAGAGAGCTGCGATACATGGAAGCATATCTCATGTAAGATTTATGAGCTTCTGACTATCTGAAGAAGAAAAATCAAGAAAAAGCTATTGTGAATTTGTGATATAATGGGCTGGTGTAGTGAGATGGATCCATCCATGAGAGTTGCCTCACCTTCCTTTTCTTTTGTTTTTCCTTCTCACCTTAAACGAATAAAGTATCTTAAACTTTGAATGACTTTCCTCTATGAAATGGGTCCACAGTGTACAAAGTTCTGTATTATAAAGAATATGCTACCAAGTTCCTGGGCCCAGACAAAGTTAGAACCTGGTATTATTTCTCATCTTATACGAGCAGAGTTGAAGTATTACCATGGTTTTCTAGTTCACCATGTCTATAGAAGTGACTTAAAGAGTGACAACTTGTGTAAATATAACTGCTTGTCTTTGTCTGTATTCGCTTGTTCTCTTATGATCATACTGCCCTGTCATGATAGTTGCAGTTCCTTCATTTTAATCTAGCCAATGTTCTGATCGTATTTCTTTTGATTCTACGTCTTCTATATGATTGTACATGTTTAATCATCTGCAATTTCTGTGTATAATAGGTTGATGAAGTAATTAATCAAGCTCAAGCAACTAGAGCAGCCTTGGGCTCCCAAAGGGCTATGTTTGGAGACGTTCAAGGAAAAGTGAAGCTACTTGGTGACAAATTTCCCATCATTCGTGGCCTACTTGGTAATTTTCTCTAGAAACGTTTGCTTCTAAAACTTTTTTATGCGCTCATCAACGGCTGATTCTTCTGTACCTTGATCCTGACCCAGGTTCTATTAGAAGAAAAAGATCAAGAGACACTCTCATCCTTTCCGCAGTGATTGCTGCCTGTACGCTTTTCCTTATCATATATTGGCTTTCTAAGTGATCAATTTTTTCAATTTCTGTGTTTAAATTAAGTGAGAGAAAAGAGGCAATTCTAATGGATTTTCCATGTGTGGTTATTAGAAATGAAATTTGGTTTAAGGTTATGGTTCCTAATACACCAACTTATGATTTTCTTATCCCCGACTTGTCTTTACTTTTATATAGAGGAGCAATATGCATTTATCGTACTTCACTGTAGAAATACTCTGAAATTACTCCAAGACATGTTTTGTTACCATGCAAATCAAACCTTGCCTTAGGGTGTCAATGTTTCTGGATTTGGGGACCTTGAGGTTAGAAAAAATGATTCGCAAGTTTCGGGAATTTGTGTAAAATTATAAGAAACTATAGCTTCTCATGGCTTCCTCTGAACTACTAAAGAATTTGGAATTCACTCTTGGGTACTGCTGTAGTTGGATTCATTCATTTTGCTTTGGGATTAGAGAATTATGAATTTGGTGGAAGAATTTGAGTTTGAGGTGATTTGGAATTACTCTTAACTAAGATAATCCATTATATCATGAGTTCATCCACAAACACTCAAACAGTCCCAAAAACCTTTTCATGTCATGTGGACCTATGGATAATGTGGTGATCTTGTCAAAGACCCATCAACAGTTGCACAAACTTATCCGAAACTTCTTAGGATTCTATTGCTGTGGTGGGTCGGGTTACAAACTGGACTGACAAATTCCGGAATAGCTGTAAATGAACATTGATTGTTATAAATGAATACTATGTATATTAATGATTCTAGGATGCAACTTAGGCATGGGCATCCCATGACTCTTTTCCCATTTGGACAACAGTATGAAGACCGTGGCCTCAAACGAGCTCTGGTTGTGATTAATTAGCTGACATACTTTTAAGTTGGTAGCATACACAAAACTAGGTCCATGGCTCTCAACCTTTTCTTGCCACTACCACAAAATACAGCCTTTTNGAACTATTTTTCACTCTGTCAATTTGTATTTGATCCTCTTTGTATAAACTTACAGTTCACATGTCATGATCTTGTCGAAAAAGCTTTCTCACTTAGAATATCAACGGTTGAGCAGGGCTTAGGCTGAACCCAAGTCAGGATAAATTGATGAGGACTTGGAAATGTATTAATTACAATGAGTTATGTCTACAGTGTTGCTTTGTCTCTAGGTATCTCTCTCTCGTACGTCGAAAAATGCTATTTATGCACAGAAAAGACACTGCCTATTCTTGAGCTTGAGATGCAAAAAACGTGTTTATGCGTCCGTACCTCATTAAAGGTATCATCTTCCATCTTCATCGATTTTCACATAATATTTGACCCTTTCTCTGTGTATTTTGTGCGTGAGATTCTGTGTGCATCTAAGAAAATACCACTGTATAACTCATGAGAAATTAAATAGATTTTATGTTTTTGTTAATATGTTGACATATTTACATTATTACATAACATATGGAGCCATAGCATAGCACCTGGATTACCTAACATTTAGCAAAATATGTTTCGAGTTTTTTTTGCTAAATTATTTATTACCCATATGCGAACTTTTGAAAATAAATTTATGTAAACTTAGACAATACATGTGTACACAATAGCATTATAATTTATAAATGAATGAGTATATTCATATATACCCCACCATATATAGCTGCAATGGGGATGCATGGTACTAGTGTATCCACGTACTGGGGAGGCTGGACATTTTTCTTTCGATTTTTAATGATTTGCACTGCTAAAATTGGTTATCATGTCCGAAAAATAAAAGTAAATAAAATTTCACAAACCAGTTTTAGGCAATTTATAAATTTTGGGATGACAAGTTGGTCCATATCCAGATAAATTGCGCCAACATAGCACGTATCAAACTTAATGTACTAACTTGTCAAAAACAACGTAGAAGGTACATATTTATGAGGGTTGTGATAAAATTTGTTGTTTTCTGTAACCGCGAACTTCGGTGTCATTCGATGTTCGTTTCAGTTGGGCCACCTATCTTTGAATTCAGCTCGTCGAGACGATTGTACCTACATTATTCAACCCAATCGAAGTTTTTTTACCCACTCAATTTTCTGTTCGAAGTAATTTGAACTGTCCATTTCATTTCAGTTGATTGACCCGCCACTGAATTTGTCTCGTCGAAACGGTTATACTTACAATATATCAACCTAATCAGAGTTAGTTTGCAAATTCCATTTTTCGTGCAAACCCATTTGAGCCCCAGATTATTGTTCCCTTTGGAGGGTCATTCGATTTTTTTTTTTCATTAATTTTAATCGTTCTTTATCTGACCTAGCGCTGTCGCGGCATTCGCTTTATTCGATTGACCCGCCGTTGGATTCATCCTATTGAGGGGGTCGAACCTACAAAATTTCAGCTAATCGAAATTTTATTAGCTTATTCAATTTTCCATCCAAAAATTTTGGATCCAAACTCAATTTTTGACCTGTGTCTGGCCCTTGATTGGCTGATGTTCAACTCGTAATAATTTTAAATAAATCGAATTTTATTCTATCACTCATCATTAATGTTTATATTTATTGTTTTTGATAAAGTAGTGCCTTATATTTGATTTACGCAGTATAATTACTTTTTTAGTATGAGTTAACTTGATCAACCAAAAATAAATTTTGCCCAAACTTAGAGTTCGTGCAACACGAACACAACATGACTGTAAATATTTTAAATGACCATTGATAAATGTGGAAGTAATTAAATAGTACTAATGAATATATAATTGACTAATGGGCTCACATTTTATTTTTGGGAACTCCATGTGTTTGTTAAAAATATGTAGCATAATGAGTAACTTTTGCGCAATGTTTATTTATACGCCATTGACATTACACATACGAGGAAGAATTTTGGGATGTGATGGTTTTCAAAAATGTTAAAAGAGTGGTGAGGTGACAGCCCTCTTTTCTACCAAAGTCTTAGGTTTTGTTCGCTCCGTAGCCTAATTGGATAATTTTAAATTAGAGATTGAGTCCCTATATTTCATTTTATTTCTTATTTTAGCAACACTATTAGCAACAATTTCCTTTTTGGCCACTTGGACACATAAGCACATGTTATAAGCCACCTAACGATATACTATTAAATTGTATTATATCAAAATTAACGTGGAAAAATATAAACCCTAGATTTAAAGAGAGAAAAAAAAAATTAAAAAAAAATTTCCTCATTTACATATGAACCTCAAGCAGAAACAAATAAATAAAATAAGACAAGTTAAAAAGTGGGTGGAAGTACAAATTTACACATAAATACACACACATTAGCCCAAAAGGAGTTGCAGAAAAAATAATGTGAGGACAAATGGCTATGCATAAATGCGAAGATGTCTGCCTTCAGCTTTCATCGACAATTACGTATCTGTGTCTCTGGAGAGAGAAGCCTGAATGTGGAGTCAAATCAGACAATAATAAACAAAAATAATAATAATGAAGTGTATAGTGATAAAACTTTATTGCTTTTTTTCAATCTGCTTGTAGAATTTTTTGTTTTATGTTTCTTTCATTAATGTGTAAAAAAATATATTTATTTATATTATAAATTATAATATATTTTTGTTGACCAATCGAATTAAACGTTTGGGATAAAAGTCATAAATGATGAATTCAACTAACTCAATTTATGAATTATAAGTTTATAACAGAACTGGCCGGTGCATACCTCTAATTAGGATAAAAAAAAAATTCGATTTCAAAGACAAATTAATTATAAAATGATAAAGAAAAATATGGGTTCATGAATCGAGTCAACATTGGGGTGATTAGGTCAAGAATGGACCACATACAAAAGTTCTAAACACATGAGCCGGTATGGGTTGCACCACGAGTCACTAGGTTCTAGGTAAACTGGCCTTGTCTAAAATAATAATTATTCAATTAAAAAGAAATTCACATTTAGTTAGAGGCTGAGCCAAACCGAGCAGTACTACTTGATTTTTTCTACCGTTGCTCGAGGTCAACGAGCCAAACATTTTTAAGGTTTTGCTCGCTTTGAAATAATTATTCGAATGCTCGAGATCAACTCGAATTTAAGAAGAGTTCCACTCGATTATGAATCGAATTCAGCTTGAGTTATGTGTCTATACACAATTAAATAATGTTACTAATAGTCGTCAGGAGAATCAATTGTTGTCAACTCATTTTAAGACGAGTTTTAATTTATTGTTATTTAGTTTTCATAGATATCAAAATTAATAATTTTTTACTGTCCACTAAAAAATCATTAAATTTTAATTGGATATTATATACTCCAACGAATTTATGATATATATTTAAGTAAAGAAAGATTTAGAGTTTTAAAATTTATTTTTTATTTTAAGAAAGAAAATATTTTAATTTCACAGCTTTTATTATAGCTAACAAGTAATATTATGCTTTATGCTTTTTTT